CCCCCCCCCCCCTCGCCCCTCTTTCTCCTTCACACACACAGGTGTCTCTCCTCGCCGCTCACAAGTTTTAACGCATTATTACACCCCGTGAAAGAACGTATTGTGTTTGTGGATATGTGTAATTTTACTTATCAATAAATAAATTATAAAGAAACCCGCCGAGCCGTTTTACTTCGAACGTAGATCAACTGAAAATTCCGAACTTCGTACACTGAGGTTTAACATTTCAGATTCAACGTTCTACATTTCTAAATATCATCGGCTTATAACTCGTCTCGTCGAGATAAACTTTAAACGCAATTATCACAGACTATCTTGAATCAGTTTTTTTTTTTTACGATTCATCAAAGATATTTTATGTAAAAAGCGAAAAGACCGAATCATTGACACGTGTAGAAGCATGAGTTGCATTTATGTAGCTTATGGATACATAAATTACATGAAGATCCGCCGAGCCGTTTTATCACAAACTCAATTAGCCATTTCGACCTTTATACACTGACACTCGATATTTCCAAAGCCAATAATCGATGTATTGTTAATCTGTGAGTAATTGATTTAAAATTTCCATTTCAATAGATAGAGAGTGCATACACGTGTGCAAATCCAATTGGTTTTTTATCTTGGTTACACGCGATCAAACTGCTACTTCGTGTCGAGTCAGTATCATTATATAACGCATCTCGTGAAATATAAATGCTGTCATTAAAACGAGTCGGTTGTTTCCATGTTTATCAAAGATGTTATTAAGTAATATGTAAAGAGCAAAAAAAATTTGCATTAGTGATGTATATTTTTTTTAGATTACGTGGTTTCTTTTTATTAGATCAAGAACATGATTTGAATTTAAAATAAACTCATTATTAGAAAAAAGTATCTTCGGCCAAGATTCTCGAGTGGTTTTGCGATTTAAAAAATGAATAATGTTCGTTCGTTATAGCGGATACCTGGTACTTTAAGGAAAAAAATAGTATGTCATGTAAAACCTAAAAACGTTGAACGGTGCATTGAACCGGAATGTGGCGAAATAGGGTTAAGCGATCGGTAAGATTCTATCATCTCAAACCAGCGATGTCACGATCTTAAACATTTTTACGTAAAGACGTAACAGACATTTTCATGAAATGTCAACATTTTAGTTTTTCAGACGTAAGTTTGCATACAATCTAATTGGAGCATGCTTTCTTCTTCGATCTTGGCACGGACGTTGTCATTCATGTCTCTGTTAATGTCGTGTGTTGTGACATCGCTACGTTCATAGATCATTTATTAGGAATCCGAGTTTGCTATTTCCAGCAAGCTGGAATCCAAGTTTGATATTTCACACAAGCATTTTTGCGCGCAGAAAAACACGCGAATCATCGAACGAGTCATCGATATGTGTTAATCTCGACCTTTCCCATATTCTCTTCTCTGTCCCTCACCTTGCCCTCTGCTCCCTTGCTAATCTGGCACGTGCATATTTCCTCATTCGATAACGCTTCTCCCGATAACAAGGTTATTATTATTCGTTCGAATTTCCTCAATACAAAGAAACGAGAGCGCGTGAGATAATAATGGCGACCGGTGTCTGAACTGGGGCGCGTTCTCGTTCTGCATTGCGAATCGAGCGTGCGATATCGAATCGCGCGGCGACGGATAGGCGAATAGGAGCGCCGCGTCTCCGACTTGACAGTCGATCGAGCGGCCAATACGAAGCTGCTGCTGCAGGTGAGGCGACTGTTTACGTCGCGGACAGGTTGTGCTGTGGTGGAGTTATTGCTCGTACAACTGTGTGATTATGCTCGTTATCGTCGTCTCGCACTAATCAGCGTCCAGTTGGCCAACGTCGTTGATCTCTAGTCTCAAAGTGCGTGGTGTGACTCAGTCAGCATCTGGCCGTCCGCTGTCGGGCTGTGTCGTACTGATCGGTCATTTCAATTAGCCGCCTGATCGTCCGGCCTTGTTGATAACGGTTTCCACATAATATCGCGGTAATGCGCTGACATATAGCTCTAGCATTTGGCAAGACGCGATTAGTCGCCTATCTACGCCAATTAAAAATCACGCTCTCTCTCTTTTTCTCTCTCTCGAACTTTAACCTGCCTCCGCAGGGAGCATGCACGCGAGCACGCTACACCCGACGACGACGACGGGTGACGAGTGATGAGCGTCGAGGATATGCTGCACTGTCATTGTCCATCCGGCCGAGAACAGACGTTGTGAATTAGAAGAGCGTAGAGCACGGGGAGTAAGCAAGTAAGCCCAGGGCGGGATTCGCAGAATCGCTCAGATGTCGTTGAATGATGACTTCGACAGACCGTTCGAGGACTCCGAGCCGCTGCAGTGGGGCGCGTTGCGGGAGATTTGCTGTGCCAATGTCGACTACTTCGCGTCCCACCAGGACGCGAACAGCGTCAGGATCAAGGCCGCGCTCCTGGCGATCCTGGATCACTTGGATCAACTGCGGCCCCTGTACCGGGAAGTGGCCAAGTTCGCGGTACACTTTGACTACGACGAAGAAAACCCCGGCAATGGTTACAGGAGTTTCCTCTCGTTGATCGACAAGGCCATCCTGCACTGCAATGTGATATGCCAGGAGATATTCCGTCAGAAGAATTCCATACTGTCCCGCAAGAGTTATCACATGAGGTAACGGTGTGCGTAAAAACTATAAATTAATTGGCCACGAGCATCTTGCGCAAGCAAGATCTGACTTACATGGAGTGTTTCGAGAGAAATGAGGATGAAAATTTGACACGTGATTTAAGAAACATACATGGCACTGAGGTCCTTCACAATCATTCAAGAAGTCAGGCATGGTCTGTTTCCTTCTCTTGAAGGGTATTCATTGACAAGTTTGAAAAGTAGGTAAAAAAGATGCAATTATAATGAAAGGTGGCACTAGTAGAGAATAGTGTTTTTAATTAATTTTAGGTATCCATAAGGCTTGGATCTTTTTATTTTATACGAAGAGATCTCGTCATTTCATTATTATTCTATCAATATTTCAGTGAATATTCAATTTTTAGTTAAATCCAATAAATTTTATGATATATATACTTCAACAAATTTATTATTACTTCTCAAGAGTATAATTTAACTTTTCTCATATTTTGCAGTATTACATTAACTTTTTTTCACAAGGAAAATTATGTTTCATGAGATACGTTATGAATGTATTAATATTGACATAATGTAGCAGTTTGATCCCGTGTAGCTAAGATAAAAGAACTGATTGAATTTGCATAAGTGTGCACGCGCTCTAGCTGTTAAAATTGAAATTTTAAATCAATTATTCACAGATTAAAAATATGTCGAATATTGACTTTGGAATTTCGTGCCTCAGTGTATAAAGTATAAACTACTCTTATTGATAACGAAATCTCAAAAATTGTCATTTCTGTCGGTTGGATCTCTTTTGCATAATTATGGCCAATTATACTTTTATTTGGTCAACGATGCTGAATCCCATTTCTCCATTTCCAGGGAGATCGAGGCGTGCTCCCAACTGTTAGCCTCGTTGTACACATGTTTACAGCATTTAAAAACGCTTTACGCATGGAGCACAGAGGTGATAAGCGATGGGAAGTTATCCCTGTTTCCCCCGGAGAACCATACCATTCAGGAACTTCTCAGTCAGATGGGAAATATTAATCAATACTGCTTCTACGGCAGATGTTTAGGATTCCAGGTATTTGAATTGGCCGTATGTAGTACACTCGTTCTTGTGAATCTAATTTGTCTCATTGTTACTTCCAGTTCTGCGACAGCTTGAAGCATGTCTTCAAAACTATAACGTTTGGTATGGCGTCTTATAGCGAAGTTTTTTATAGCAATGGCACATTACTAGGACGATGGAGTAATTTCGTTAAGTATTTATTGGATCCTGAAGCGAGGGCGCGTCGTGTCGTTAGTATATCTCAACATGCCGATATCTCTTTCTGTCAAGCGTTTTGGTTTCTCAACGAATCTGGTAAGAGATATTTAATGAACGAGTGTGTTTTACATTCAAAATTTTTTACATTCAAAAGGTTTATTCGTGATATCGGAGTAAAAATATCTTCTCTATTCAGATAACTAGATCTCGATCATGTATGTATTTTAGAATTACTACCCAGATTACCATCTATAAAGAAGCATTTAGCTATCAATCAAGTGATATCCATCCCACCTGAGGAATTAATCTTGCCTACCGTTGACGGAGGAACCGTCTCAATTCCGATACCAAATAGTCACATAGGAAAGAAACCGATCCACGTTAGATTGCTCAGCTCCAAACGGCGCTTAGGAATGGTAAATAGCACATCAACACGCTTTGTGCTTGTACTTTGCTTTGTGCTTTTAGTGTACAAAGTATTACGTGGTTAACTGTGGCCGTGCAATGTATGTATACTACTATTTTGACTGATATAAAATTACCGAATGTGTTGAGAGTTCACTGGACTGAAGTATCAGTAATGTGCACAACTGAATATTTTGTAAAAGTAAGTTGACAGTTATTGGAGAAAAACGGAAAACATTGAAAAGTCAGGGAACTTCAAAATTCATTTTCTGTGGCAATCCTGAGAACGTAATTAATAAACAAGACGATATACAAATATTTACCTCGAAATATATAATCGTGTACATTATTGTTCAGTCTACCTTCGTGGGATATATTTGACATTTAGTTATAAGACAGAAAGATTCTGCGTATGCATGAGAGAGAGAGAGAGAGAGAAAGGAGATACGCTCTTAAAATAATACATTTTCATTGACAATTCTATCAAGGTTGGATCTGGGGGGATAGGGGGAGAGTTACTAGGCCTAAGCGATGGGCTGATCATTCACAGTCACGGGGGTGGATTCGTGGCGCAAACGTCGCGCTCGCACGAGGTATATTTGCGGAGTTGGGCGGTGAAGCTCGGCGTACCAATTTTGAGCATAGATTACAGTTTAGCCCCGGAGGCTCCCTACCCTCGTGCGCTCGAGGAGGTGTTGTACGCCTACGCGTGGGCGTTGAAGCATGCGAACACGTTACTTGGGAGCACGGTGAAGAAAGTGATACTCGTCGGTAAGTGAAGCTGTTCAACATATTTATCTATGTGTTGTTTATTCGACAACTGATCACGTCACATGGCACGGCGATCGATCGACCGATTTTTCAATTCACTGTTTCGACAGGTGATTCCGCGGGTGGTAATCTAAATCTCGGAGTCACTTTGAAGTGCATACAATTGAATATAAGAAAGCCGGACGGCATGTTTCTGGCATACGCACCGGTATTAGTCGAATTCGTCCCGTCGCCTTCTCGTATGCTCTGTTTCACCGACCCGTTGTTGCCGTTCGGATTTATGTTGCGATGCTTAAAAGCCTACGTCGCAACCGACAAGAAAGTCACCAAGTAAGACTCCGACGGAGCATTTGTGAAACACATTTCTCGCGAATTATCGTTTTACATAGCTTCTTTCTTCCGTAGCGTTAAATTTTAGACCCGGACATTTTCTACGTAAGAACGGATTTATTATCATATATCAACGGCTGATTGTATACCCACGCGCTTTTTCGTTGTCGATTAAAACGACGCCCGACTTCGTGAGCGAAATTTATCGATTTATAATCCAATTACTCCTGGTTGACAGGGAGCAGGAGGTCGAAGAGTGCGCCAAATCGGACACTGAATCCTTTGCAGAAATGAGCGAAAGTGATCTTATAGCGCTGGCTCTGAGTCCAAACGGCGACGGCGCGAACGGCGCACAGAAACTAGTATCCTTACCGTCCGATTCTACATTGAACTCCGTCAGTCTGACCGAAGTTGATGGTACATATAAACCAGCCGAGTGCACGCTGTATATATTATTACGTGATTGTGTTACTTATATCTGGATCTTGAGGAAGAAAGGTCTTACATATACGCGCTACGTTGACTGTTCGATTGACTGGTGGAACAAAATTTTCAAGATTTTTACGGTCTGTTTGAGCTTAGAGAATTTCTGGATTTCGTGATACAATAAATTCGAAGACTTTTACAGACGGAAGTTCGAAGGAACGAACGTCCGGCTCTTTTTCCGTCGAGATACAGATATACGTACGCTCGTTCACTCAGTACACATTTTGAGAAACTTTTTAATGCGATAGGTACTGAATGTCCGAAAGGACAGGCAAACTTGCGGGATTATATCAGCCGATTTGTAGATATGTACAGAAACTCAGGCCTCGCTTCGTCATCGCCCGTTGCGAATGGCAGTGACGGCAGAGATGGTAATATTTCAGGAAGCGACAAATCGTGGTCTCTGTTCGGATGGTCCTTCGGCGGGAAGGACAATAAGGAGACCAGGGAACTCGATGTGGAGAGTGGCAGAAGCCCTTTGGAGGAGTTGACCTTTGCGATACCGAGGGATCCGTTCTTGAGTCCTTACCTCGCGCCGGACGATACATTAGTCCATCTGCCGCCCATTAAGTTACTGGTATTTTGAATTTTTACCGCAGCTCGTTAACCCTTTGAGTACTGAATTATTTGAAGATTTTTATGCCCATGGGACGGATTTAATTTGTCGCTATATGGATTAATATGTAAAAGTAATACATTTTATGCCCAAGTAAGCAGATGACGAGTCTCACTCGTCAAATGTACCGAAAGGGTTAATGCGATACGTGGGTGGTTCCAGTTCTTGTTAAGGCTCCTGTTTCCTCGTCATCTTGATTGACGACGTCAGAAGCGAGAAAATGAAGAATGCTCGCGGAATCCGTTCAAGCCAAAGGATGCGTCCACAAAATGAAACTTATGATCGATTGAGTACATTTGTAAGATGTTCCCGAAACTTTAACAATTAATAATAAAATTAACGTGAAAATCAAAATCATGAAGAAAAAAGAAAATGAACATTGCACACTATGTTAATTTTATGACTATTTATTGATTATTAAAGCAAAAGGAACATTTTCGAAATATTTTATAAATGTGCTTAATCGATAAGTGTCGTTTTATAGATATGTTCTTTTATCCCAACGTATTGCGTAGGAATTTTGAACGTGCGTTTTCTCGCTTCTGACGTCAGACGACCACAGTGAGGGGTCAGGAAGGTTAAGGTCAAGATTTCTGCCATATCCGCTTTCTCTTCCTATGTATACATATATGTATTACACATTTGTTGACAGTATAATTTTGTTTACAGTCGCTACAGCTTGATCCTTGTCTCGATGACAGCGTCATGTTCGCGCGAAAGCTCCGTTCGCTCGGTAACAAAGTTACGTTGGACATATTGTCGGGATTGCCGCACGGATTTCTCAATCTTATATTGGTAAAAATTGACTATATTATCTATCGCCTGGCTCCAGCGTGTGTGTGTGTCACGTTCCGTTGATCCCGTAGGTTTCGAAAGAAGCGGCGGACGCCACGGATCTCTGCGCCACGAGAATCAAAGAATTGTTGGATTTGTAACTGTACACACACACACATACACACAATGTGGGCGCGGTCATATTATTGTTAATACATGAATGCTGATCTAGAGTAAACAGGAGAGATACTTCAGTGTCGCGGCAACTATTTATCCAGCGCGACGAGCACTCTTATTATTTTCAACGGCTTACATCAGCGATTTGTAACGACGTTTCATGAATAAACGAATAATGGCCGGAACTTTGAGCTGGTCATTTTCTACCGTAGCTAAAGTCCACTTTAGGCGATCTATAATTCGCGAAATTCTCGTCGCAACGAGGCTTATTTGGTCGGTGTATTAAGTTGACTCAACACACCGATGATTCCCGCCAACGAATCTCGTTCCGAATCACGTCCGGGATATCCGAGACCGAAAAGTCCGAATCTGTTCCGTTTCATTGTGGTTTACACCGACCGTGTTTTTGATACATGTGCTAGCTAGTTACTTTCTATTAGATCATCTTGATACCGATGATGCGTGTAAACGGCATACCAAGATACTGCAATACGCATCAGGAAGACGTATCGTACCGGCTTGATATAAAGTCGTTAACAAGACAATCTGATATCGATAACAAGGTGGTAGAAAGTAAAAACTGCTTAGTACGTGTATCAAATGACCAGTTTAAACTGGACCACTTGAAGGAATATCCTTCAAAGGCCTCATTGAGTGTTTGTTAGTAAGGTGATTGGTGTATATAGAATTAATTATCGAGAGAAAAAAAATAGGCCCGCATCGGTGTATCGCAGTGTTTTAATGTCATTCGGAGAACTTGGATATTATTTCCCCGATCTATCTGGATCTACGAATGAAGATGATTCTCGTTAGGATGTAGTAGAAAAAGCCTAGTCGCTGTTCAAATTTTGTCTAATCAAATTGTTACCAGCATCATAATAACAAGGATCATTTGTTCACCATCGACGCGCCGCAGCGGAGGCGATCATAAACGATTAGAGATTACAAGTACTTCTCAATCAGTTACGACAATAATGTTTAGATATTTCGATTCCTTATTAAATTTCGAATAAATGAGTGAAGAAAAATGTTGGACACTCGCAATAGGTAAATAATGATGCACGTTTAGTCCGGGTAGCGAGAGCATAATCTTTATTCGTCCGATATTTGGTTTTTACCTGTAGAAAAGTCTGCTTCAAGTTCCATCGCGAATCATACATCATCTAGAAAATGGGCTTTAACAATTATTATCGATATTACTACATGTACATCGGTGTGTCGCATTAAGAGACAGCATTTGTCTAAATCTAGAATGCAGGTCGTAAAATATTCATCTGACCGCAGATATTAACGATGGGAAATAAGAATATCCTGTACATGTAAAAAAAAAGAACTCGACGTATTTAGTATTGTTATATTGATTTCTTATACACGCGCGTGAATTACGTACCGTTGCAAACGCATATGAGAAAGGCTTATTATATAATATATGGAACTTCCCCTTCGCACGTTTTTCGTGCATTCTTATATACTTTCCTCTGTAATATATAAATATATATATATATA